CCTCCCCACATGGGCTTAAATAGGTAGAGTCAGGTCTGATTGCTCCATCTGTCCTCCCTGCTCAGAGATATTTGTTATTATTTGTTTCCCACCTTGTCTTTCTCCACAGTGGGAGGACGGGACACAAACTGGGTTATATCATTCTCCTCTCCTTCATTTTATTGTCACAATGGCCCTGTGAGGTAGGTTAGGCTGAGGGGCAGTGCCGGATTTACGCATAAGCTAAATAAGCTACAGCTTAGGGCCTTGCAATCTGCTGGGGCCTCGAATAAAAACACAATATAAAAATGATTTCAAATATTAAAAAGGCGTATATATTTTAAATTTTTCTGAGACCAGCTGATATAATTTAAAACAGTAGGGGGCCACTGGGTTTTGTATAGCTTAGGGCCTCAGCAAGTCTAAATCCGGCCCTGCTGAGGGGGTATGTGCAGTCCAAAGTCAACCAGCAAGTTTTCGTGGTAGAGGAGGGATCTGAACCTGGCTCTCCCAGGTCATAGTCTGAGACTCCAACTGCTACACCACACTGGCTGCCCACGACAAAGTTGGGAGTGAAAGCCTGAGTGACGTTTGGAAGGCATTAGTGCCTCTTGCCATTTATTGATATGTCTATGGCAGGAGTCCTCAACCTTTTTGAGATTGTGGGCACTTTTGGAATTCTGACAAATTGTAGGGGGCGCAGCCCCTAAATGACTACCACAAAATGGCTACCGCAGGAGGCAGAACCTGCCACAAAATGGCTACCACAGGAGGCAGAACCTGCCACAAAATGGCTGCCGCAGCTTGCCTTCAGTCACACAGTGAAGCACACAGGGCAATAGAGGCAGCTGCTGCCAAATCAACATTTCAAGAAAATCTGCACTGCCAATCAGAAGCCTGGCTAGGCAAAAGTACCACCTGGCCCCACCCACTCTCCACAAACACTTTGTGGGCACCACGTTAGAGGTCCCTGGTGTATGGTTTTAAATTTTGGATTGCGGTTTTAATGTTTGCAGTGCACTTGGAGTCCCATAACGCAGGAGAGAAGTGATAATTTAAATAAATAAATAAACATATTAGACACATGCAAGGGGCAATGGTAATAGCTGAAGGTATTTTCCCCCCAACTGTGATTACTGCAAATGAACGAAGAGAGATGCCAGTCAAGATGAGACCTAGCTCTTCAAAGCTCTGATTTAGATCTGCCATTCACAGTCTGCAGTCGATGTTGCTCTGAGGAAAGTGACTTAGCAACACTGGCACTTGGAAGTCATCCAGCCATTACACAACTTCATATTTCTCTGTAGGGAGAGGCTAGCAGGATGGGGGCCAAAACTCCAAGTCTGCCGCCACTTGTGTGACTGTCCATGAAGAACTGAGCCAGTAGGCAGGGCTGCTGACTTTTCTGTTGTGTTTGAAAGCTTAGAATCGCCTCCTTTTGGAATCTGCTGGAAGGCAAATGGGAGTTTTGGAGCGGTGCTGGGAAGCAGGTGGATGTGGGCTCTTAGCAAGTGGGTGGGTGTGCCAGCATATAACACTGCAAGAATTTAACCTCTCTTTTCCCAAACAGGATTAAAGAAGAGACTAAAAAGCTGTGGACTGAAAAGGAGAAGCTGGAATACAAGTTGAAAGCTACCCTGGGTTGCGTGGATCAGCTTCAGGTGGGACGCTCCTGGATTCTGTGTGTCCACCTTTCTCTTGAATGAAGACCCAGTATATTGGCAGAGAAAAGGGGAATTGTGCCTAAGTGGGATAGGGCTGAATATCCTCAGTGCTTTTACCAATGCTTGATATCATTTACACACTGAGGCTGCTTGCTTGAGTCACCCAGCCACAGACAGGCATTTTATGTATAGTCAGAATTGCTGTCAGAATTCAGAACTGTCCCTCCTGTGTGGTCACTGATTAATGCAGTGCAAGCTTGGGACATCCATAGTTTTGAATAGTGGTAGCAATGCAATAATATCTGCAGTATCTCTAACCTGAGCGACATGAACAAATTTAGAGTCCTGTGGCACCTTTAAGACCAGCAAAGGTTTATTCAAGGTATGAGCTTTCGTGTGCATGCACACTTTGTCAAATACATTGGAAAGGAAGCTAGATTTCAAACTTATAGATACAGGCTACATGTTATGCAGAACGGATTTGAGAATTCTGGACTGTGCCACTTCAAACTGCAGTTAAGGAAGGATCATATTTTTAGAATGTTCCCCCATCTACAAATGCTTCTTGCCTGTAGCAGTACATCGAAGGTAAGGGTGCCTTAAATTTCTTTTCTCCTTTGTGAAAGGAGTTTGAGGATTAAGCTGTTTGAAATGGTAGATGCCAGAATTCTAGCACTTCATTGAGAGGGCTGGTTTATGTTCATGACTCATGAAATCACCTTTTACTGAGTCAGGCAATTGGTTCATCAAGGTCAGTATTGTCTACTCGGGCTGGCAGCAGCTCTCCAAGGTCTGAGGGTCGAGCACATCTTCTACTGTTTGATCCTTATAATTGGAGCCGGCTGAGGGTTAAATGGGAGACATTTGGCACGCGAATCAGATGCTCTCCGACTGAGCCCCGTTTGCTCCGTGTTGCTGCAGGAGTAATGGATAACTCACCCATTATGTATAATATGTCGCTCTTTCATCCTGGAAACAGTGGCCAGTATAATTGATCCAGCCAGAAGAATTGATCCAGTCTTCAGTTTGCAAAGGTTGGGGGGAATGACTGAACTCTCAACCAATCCTCCCTCTAAGCCGTGGAGTCTTGTGAGCAAATATACTACTTTGTGAACTACTAGCATTAAAGTTCTGAGTGAACAATTTTGGCTACTGCATAAATTAGTTTGCTCTAGAGCCATCCTTTCTGAGCTAAGACAAAAATGTGTAAGCCAGAGGCTAAAAAAACTATGAGCTAGCTCACACTAACTCAGCTTAGGGGGAACACTGCTCTCAACATCTTTCTGCTGTTCTGGACTTGGAGGGTGGGGGTTAATGTACCTGGGCATTAACAAGCAGTGTAAAGGATTTGATTACGGAATGTCACTGGTAACTAGAGCAATCCATCACTTTAGGCTTGTAGGGTTAAATGTTGTTGTTGTTACTAAATCTAATGGTGGCGGCTACAAGCATGGACAGCTTCAAGAGGGAATTAGATAAGCATATGGAGCAGAAGTCCATCAGTGGCTATTAGCCACAAGGTATAGGTAGGAACTCTTAGTCTGGGGCAAGTGATGCACTGTATTCTTGGTGCTTGGGGGGGGGGAACAGTGGGAGGGCTTCTAGTGTCCTGGCCCCACTGCTGGACCTCCTGAGGGCACCTGGTATTTTTGGCCACTGTGTGACAGAGTGTTGGACTGGATGGGCCATTGGCCTGCTCCAACATTGGCTTCTCTTATGTTCTTATGTAATGCCATAGTTGCTTATCTGGAAATGGTACCAAAACATGATGGGTTGGGTCCAGCCAGCTTTTCCACCCATCTCACCCAATTCCCCTCCTTCGTACAGGCCCCATCCCACCTGGCTTTTGGCCACGCAGGTCCTGTGATTCCCAGCATAACCATTTTTCAGAGAAGAAGAAGAAGAGATTGGATTTATACCCCGCCCATCACTTGTAGTCTCAGAGCAGCTTACAAACTCCCTTCCCTTCCCCTCCCCACAACAGACACCCTGTGAGGTGGGTGGGGCTGAGAGAACTCTGACACAAACTGCTCTTTTTCAAGGACAGCTGTGCCAGAGCTTGTGACTGACCTAAGGTCACATCAGCAGGTGCAAGTGGAGGAGTGGGGAATCAAACCCGGTTCTCCCAGATTAGAGTCCGCGCACTTAACCACTACACCAAACTGGCTATCAAAGGAGAACCCTCTTTTTACCAGCAGAAACGTTCCAGCCCCGTCTAAGATAACCTAACTGCCCACTATTTCCTTAACAATCTGGGAGCCATGTGTGTCTTTCATTCTGTTTCAGTCCCAGGTGCAGAAGGAACAGCAGGAAGTAGAAAAGTACCAAAAGGCAGATGGTGACAAAGCCGGGCTCCTGGAGCAGCTGAAGGAAGAAAATAAGCAGTTACAGGCCACCTTGCTTGTAAAGGTAAACCTCCCTTGCTATGGGTTGGATCCAGCAGTAAGGGAGAAGAAACCGGACTCTGCACAGTTGCACTTGCGCAGTCAAAGGGCTGCAGCCACACACAAGCATGATTATAATTTTTTAACAAAACAGTGGTGTGCATAAGGTATAACAAAATGTGCAACTGGCATGGCTTGCATGATTGTATTTCACTTGCTTTTGAAATGGTGTCAGAAGGAGTACCTTATGCTGTGTCTGGTACCTGTGGAAAAGATGGCAGGGAAACAGCCGCCCTCGCTTAGCAGGAGCAGACTGCAAGGAGTAACTTTAGTGCTTCCTTGAGGGCTGTTGTGCACATGGAGATCCTCTGTGGGAAAGTCTATTCTAGAACAGTGGCTTCTTGTAGACTGGGTTCTGGGGGATCCTGGGGTGTTTGGGGAGAGGGGCCTTGGTTCATTATTGATTGATTTATTTGGTTCAATTTCTGTCCTGCCCTTCCTGCAAGCGGACTCAAGGCGGGTAACAACATTAATATAAAACAATGAAATCAAGATTAAAACTGTAAACCTGACCCTTAAATGATGGTGATCAGCAGAGCACGATGCATTAGCATGCATAAATCGCGCAATTTCAGACCCCATTGCCTCCAGCACGAGATCCCAAGGGAGCGGGGCTGGGGAAGACCTCTGCCTGAGAATTTGGAGAGTTGCTACATGTTAGTGCAGGTGGGCTGGATTGACTGCGGGTCTCGTTGTGCATAACCGCTTCATAAGGCTAGGACATGAGCAGAGGTTTCTCAGTAAGACCCCTAATGGCAAGCTTCCTCTGCAAAAATAGCTTGTTGCCGTGTGTCGTCTGTACACGAGTATCTGTGATTTGCACCTCACTTCCCTCCCCAACGGGGACCCAAAGGAGCTTGCAGCATTGTTCTCCCTCCATTGTATCTTCATGACAACCCTGTGAGGAAGGGCAGGCTGACCCAAGGTCACCCAGAGAGCTTCCATGGCAGAGTGGGGATTCTTTCCAACTTGAAACTCCCAGATCTGAGTCAATCACTCTGAACGGTACACCGTGCTGGCTCTCTCTAAATTAGAGACATGTTCTGTGTAAATCCACCGTCCGCGCTGTACCTAGAGTAACACAAAAACAGGCCAGCCTAAGATAAAAACCTCTCTTCCGCTGCCTGTCATTCCCATCGTAGGCGATAAACTTTAAGCTGTGGACTCAAGTCACCGTGCTGTGGTTTTTTGGGATCGGTGGCAAAGCGACGGAGTTCCTCTGGAACAAAAATACTGAGATTGAAATCTACAGATGCATATAGTGGAAAGCACCGTCAACAGATCTATGGTGAACCTAGAGGGTTTTCAAGGCAAGAGTCAGTTCACAGAGGGGGCTTGTCCTCGCTAGCCTCTGCATAGCCAACTTTAGACTTCCTTGGTGGCCTCCCATCCCAAGTGCTTACCGGGGCTGACCCTGCTTAGCTTCCAAGATGGGATGAGATCAGGCTAGCCTGGGCCATGTAGGTCAGCCCTCAAGCCCACGTGGCTGGAGTGATATCAGCTGCACGCTTCCCACTGTATACCAAAGAGTCCACACGCGCACACACACACACACACACACAATGGGATGTGTAACTCAGGGAGTTGGAGGACAGAGGAAGAGAGACAGAGGATTGTGTTACCTGCCCTGTTTTTCTCCAGGAGGTCATCTGGGGTAGCAAGGGATTTTAATTATTTATTTATTTTAAGCTATTTTACCCCGCCCTCCCCGCGAGCGGGCTCAGGGCGGCTTACAAGGAGCGCAAGTCCATATATAAAACCCAATAAAACAATAAAATCACAATTATAACAATAATAACACTAATGACAATAATAAAGTGCTTTCAAATTAAGGTGGTCTTGAGTGGTTATCTTCAAACCAGCCCCATTGGGGTCTCACTGTCCAGTTGATCATTCATACCAATCCACGTTGTTAATGTCACATGTGGCTGGGCTTCCCAGGGCGATCCCGCGACCCGATGGTATTGCCACCGTTGTTGTTGGTGGCAGCGGCGGCCCCTATGTGAAAGCCTGGTGGAAGAGCTCCGTCTTGCAGGCCCTGCGGAACTGCATAAGATCCCGCAGGGCCCTGATCTCCTCCGGGAGCTCGTTCCACCGGGTAGGGGCCGCCACTGAAAAGGATCTAGCCCTGGTCGCAGCAAGTTTTACCTCCCGGGGACCTGGAATCACCAAGCGGTTTTGGGTCCCCGACTGAAGTGCTCTTGGGGGTATATACGGGGAAAAGCGGTCCCTCAGGTAGGTTGGACCCTGGCCATATAGGGCTTTAAATATAAGTACCAGCACTTTGAAGCGGATTCGGTATGCTATTGGCAGCCAGTGCAGCGCCTTCAGCCCAAGTGGCTCTCAGACCCGCCTCCAGCTGGGTGGTTTGGAGTGCCAGGAAGGGCAGGCTGGTCAGGGAGCCAAGCAGGAGTCTGAGCAGAAGAGCAGGCAGTGATCCAATCAGGGATCCAGGAACCAGATGGAGCAGGACTGTGTTGTCCAGGGTGCAGCAAGTGAGCTACGAGCCAGGATACCCAGATCGAAAGCTGAGGAGGAGTTGGGGGGATGTTGGCCCCTTGTTGCATAGGAGGCAGGGAATGATCAGAACAAAAGGTTCAGTCTCCAGTTGTCCACTTTCTGGCCCATAGCTGTGGTGGGGCATCTTGGGGGCCACGCCCCCCTTAATTTACACCCACAAAATCCTCTATCAAAACTTTTTAAAAATGTTGATACTTCTACAGAAAGTTGTCTAATTCTCCACCCTGCACCCGCCTTCTCCAGCCGGCTGGTCCTGCGCCACCTGACTCCACATTGCGGCCTGGTAAAGACGGTGATGGCAGCTGCAGCAGCTTTCGCCAGCTGGGCAGGGAGAGGAGAGGGGCGGGGGGGGCGGACTGCGACAAGCATGGGAAGCTTGAGCCCGCCCTGGCCTTTTGCCAGGCCTATCCTGGGGGCTGGAGTAGGCTGGGGGGCGGTGGAGAGAAGCTGACTGCAGAAGCACACAGGAAGACCCAGTGAGGCTACATAGCACCCGCCCCTCTCCCTCCCCTCTCCCTCCCCTCTGATGGCAGCCTGAGCTGGTGGTGCCTAGGTGCCAGGAGCCCTGCTGGGCTAACTTTGGGTGGGCGGCAGGGCACTCTTGGGGGCACACGCAGCTCCTCCTCCCCACGCACACGCCTCTTGCTTGTACGCCCACCCGGTGGCCTCGGGCACCAGCCAGCTCCACCAGCCCGGGTCTTGCAGTGAGGCTTCTCAAGAGACCCTGCTGGGTGCCGCATCAGAGGATGGCGAGCAGCAAATGCACATGAAAATATGCAAAAAGATTTCACGGCTCACAAAGGTAAACAAAAAGAGAGAGAGCGCTTTCCCCCTTGGCAGTTGCGCATTCTCCGGAGGAGCAGTTCAGCCGGCTGCTGCAGCAGCAGTGCAAATTGCTGAGTGCGCCAAAGAGCTCGGATTTATTCATTTTCTTAAAGAAGAGCGTTGTTGGGTGAGATCCAATCCCCAGGATCTAGTCCAGCGTGTTCCCCTCTTCACGATCCCCCCTCTTCACCCTAGAGTAGGGGACAGCTTCTTCCATGTGGAAACAGCTGTCTGGAGTGAGTGAGTGAAATTTCTGCTGTATTTTGTATTATTTTTAAATTTATTTTTAATTTTGCAATGTCGCGCCCCACCAGTTCCCCCCAGTTCCTCCTTCCCCCCCCCCTTGAGAATTTTCTGGCTACAGGCCTGTCTGTGTTTTCCTCTGTTTTGGTCTGTTCTTCCCCTCACCGTCTCCAGTGCAATCATTCTGGAAAGACACCACTCAGACAAAGCAGTGCATGGAAGAGGAGGCGCAGATTTCCCCACCTTCCCGCTCACATGTCTCCTTGGGCCGGCCATTCCTTCTCCCACTCCCAGTTGCCACCAGCAGGCTTTTTGCTGGCTTTAAAAAAAATTGGTAGTGGCCGTATCACTATGGCGTCATTGCACGATGGCGATATAGTCGCTGCTGAATTTAAAAAGAGAGTGCGGAAAGCCTTTTGGTGATGTGTTCAACTGGGAGGAAGTGACAGTTGCATGGGTAAGTGCAGGAAAGAAAGAGTGGAGAATTCCTTCCCCACCTGGGCACTCCACTGCCAGCGAGTGCCCGACAAGGATTCGTCTCCACCTACTAGAAGCAGCCTTATCCGAACGCAAGCCTTGCACATAGTCGTGCTGTGTAGTTTGTTTATTTATTTATTGGATTTCTATGCCTGCTTACATAAAAATTTAAAAAACAGAATACAAACATGTAACAAATTCTAAAGTGCTATATGTCGATATTGCATATCGGGCAGCGAACAACAGTTTCCGAGTATTATCCTTCACAGGTGTCAGTATTTATTGAGTTCCACCTCTCCGCGTGGGTGCAGCAACAGTGTGCCATAATCTGATGAAGCCGTGCGTAGGCATGTGCTCATCCAGATGTCTGTATCGTTCCTCGTCCTTTTGTGGGAATTGTGTTTGCAGAACTATTCCGACTGGGAACTTCTTTTCTTTTTTTAAGCCGCTGTGCTTGACTGTAGAGCTGGGAAGACTTCCACAAGCCTCCATTTAAATTCACCCCACTCCTCCTTGTCTGAGCCGGTCTCTTGTAGTGTTTTTTGCTCTTTTCATCTCTGCCATTTTTCTTGGCCTCGGGCAGAGGATGTGACCCTGTGGTAGACATAGACCCAGGCCCGTAGCCAGGGGTTTTTTTGTTTGGGGGAGGGGGGGGTCTTTAATTTTTTAATTTATTTTAATTTCAACAATTTCACTGTGAATATTAGCATTAAAAGTCTATATAAAAATGAAGGGAAAAAAAAGGTTTCGGTTAGGAAATCTAGACTAACCAAATACCAGTAACTTGTATTTGGCTTTAGATATAGTTTCCCAATCAAAGGTGTCAATGCCCATTTTATCTAAGATAGGGTACCAGATATTTAGAGGATTGGAAAAGTCACTCTCATTTTGGTTATTGGAATGATAAATTGAGAAATTGTCCAGCATGAATAGATCCCATACTTTATACCACCACTGAGTTATATTTGGCACCTGGGTCTTTAAATTTTTAAAGGGGCAGCTAAATTACAGTTAATTAAATTCATCTGGATGCCTGTCCTCAAAGGGGGTGGCTCCAAGCCTGTTTTTAGTCCTTCCTTTCAAGGGACAGGGCACCCAGTGCATCAGTTCTTAGTGGGAGGTAGAGGGGAGCCCGGGGACAAGCCGCGGCACTCTCACCCTGGCCATTGACAGCAGCAGGTGGCTGGGGTGTGTGTGTCTCTCCTCAAATATACAGTTTCTGGCACAGCTGTTTGTGGGTCAGGGCTTTTAATTAAGGGGGCCGGGCCCCAACATGCCCCACTGTAGCTACGGGCCTGGGTTGGACCCCTTGTGTGGCATGCAGAAGGTCCCCACTCTGGCCTGGAAGCTCACTGGGTGATGCTGGGCCCATCACACACCCTCAGCCTAGCCTACCTTACAGGGTTGTGTGTTATAAGGATAATGGGGAGAGGAGAAGCAAGCCACTTTGGGTCCAGGTTAGGGAGAAAAGTGGGATTATAAATAAACAATTTATATCTGTTTTTACCCCTTTTGTTTTTATTTCTGGCAGTCTCGTATAATGTTAATAAAAAGCAAATTTGCATATTTTCCAATAAAAATATGTAATATTTGTTCATGTCTTGCGGCTCACCGTTTATTCTATGTGGCTTTTACGTTAAGTAAGTTTGGCAACCCCTGCACTAGGGATAGGGGCATAGCAGCACATTAGAGATTCTGACATATTGAGGATCCAAGGAAGCAATATTTTTTGCCCGGGGGGGGGGGGGGGCAGCATCCACACAATGCCTTTTATTAAGTCCAGCCAAAATGGCATAAAACAATCTGTGATCTTTGAAGTGTAAGTATCCCACCCCTCTTTTTACGCATTCAAATAAACAAAGAGCTCTGGGGGATTCAAAAGCTTGTACATTGTTTCATGCCATTCGGGATTGGTCTTATTTAAAAGGTACTTGTATGGCTTTAGTGGGTGAAGCATAATGGATTCTCTAGAGATAGCGTGCTGGAATTGAACCCTTTTTTCTGATGGGATTTCCATTGGGAAGGAGAAATACATTCGAGGCTGACTCAGGAGAATTTCTGGATAGCCACAGGAATAGGAATTGCAGTGTTGGGAATGGCTGGTTGCTATTGTCACAGAATTAGGTCTGGATCGAGCCTCAGTCCTCTGTTAAACCGATGCTATTTCTATAGTAATTAGCTATTTCAATTTCTATAGTAATTAGCTTCTGTAGTTGAATCTTTGGTTCTTTTCCCCAGGAGTCTGTAGGACGCTTCTGGTGATGTGACCTTCCTCGTATGGATAACACTGCACATGACTGTTGCCTTTTGGGATGTTTATACATTATGAAATTCTAAATAGGCAGGGTATCTGAAACTAACTTCCTTGACTCCCTGAGTCGAGTTTCCCTGACTTTCATTGACTTCTCTGACCCCAGAAATGGAAAGAAGGGGAGGGATTTGGATCAGTACATCATGTCAGTTCTGGTCAGTTCTAGTTTGGCCTGCGTTGCCTCCAGGATAGTCCTGCGTGATAGGTAGGCCACGTAGGTATGTTATCAGCTATAGGTCCAAGAAAGATATATGCCTCTGGTTTACTAAGGGTCGTGGCTGCTCATCAATGCCAGGGAATAGACATATTCCTTATTTGCCTGGGTGTACACTGTATATTGAATTATAAGTATTGAATTAAGAATTATGAGTCAACTTTGTATGCTGCTTACCAAATTCTTATATGTTCTAAAGGGTTCTCCATTTGGGTTTGAAGTTAAATAAGAGGAGTTTTGCCCAGACCTGGATAGCCCAGGCAAGTCCAGTCTGGTCATATCTTGAAAGCTAAGCAGGGCCGACTCTGACAAGTACTTGGATGGGATTCCTCCTTGGAATACCAAGTTAGGAGGACAGAGGCAGGCTTTATTCAGCCACCTCTCTGAATATCCTCCAGTAGGGGTCAGTTACCAGGGGTCGATGTGACTTCCAGGTGTGTGTGTGTGTGCGCGCGCACACACACACACACCTGGAAGTCACATCGACCCCTGGTAACTGACCCCTACTGGAGGATATTCAGAGAGGTGGCTGAATAAAGCCTGCCTCTGTCCTCCTAACTTGGTATTCCAAGGAGGAATCCCATCCAAGTACTTGTCAGAGTCGGCCCTGCTTAGCTTTCAAGATATGACCAGACTGGACTGGTAGGTGGGGCTGAGAGAGCTCTGAGAGAACTGCTCTTTCGAGAACTGCTCTTTCGAGAATAGCTCTCAGAGAACTCGGAGAACTACAGTGGTTTTGAAACAACTATCTCTCTTTCTTGATGCCATTGGAAAGCCAGTTTCTCTCCCTCCCCAATGAACACAGTGGGGAATGTGAGTCCATGAAAAGGTTGCTGCACTACTCATTTCCCCAACAGCTGTGCGCTGTGAGGTTGCCTGCAAATAAACTTTGGGTTTAAACAGAGCAGGAGTCCCCAACATGATGGCACCGTGACCCACTGATACCTTTCCGAGCACTCCCCCAAGTGTTTTTGGAAAGTGGGTGGGGCCATGTGGGGCTCTTGTCCAGCGGGGTTTCTGATTGGCTGCACAAATTAAAATAATACTTTTTCAGGGGTGGCAGCCCCAACAGTGTTGGTTTTATTCTATCACTCCTCTCTCCTATTGTACCCCCCCCCGTATTTCTGTGTGGTTGGCTCCTGAGGCAGCCATTTTGTGGTTCTGCCCACCACCCTGTGTCAGAATTCCAAAGGTGCCCACATGCTGAAAAGGGTTGGGGACCCCCGATATATAAAGTACTTCAGTCAGCATCCTTTTTAATGTCCCTCATACTATTCTGTGACTGTGGGCAAGAGCGCTCTGATACCTTTAGGACACTTGGTTCACAAATGCAATCTTTTTTTTTTCCTCTTGGAAAAGGAACAGGAAGAGATAAAACTAAGGGAACTGTTTCAGACCGTGAAGAAGAATACGGACAAAGTGAAAACGATGACTAAGGTGCGCAAGTTCCAACAAGTGTGGACGGAGGAGGATTGTGTGCACATCTCTCCCTCCCCCCCCCCCTTAGGGCAGAAATGCTCCCCATCCTGTGAAAGCAGAACACCGTTTTGAACGGGCTGTGGGAACTGTTGTAACTTGATTCCAGCTGATTCCAGAAGAGCATTGGTTTCATGAAACGAAAGGGACTTCTTGTGGGAACATCCCTTCTTTCCGTGGGTTGGATCCCATGGCAAATCCCCACTGACTGGACAGGTTGCGTTTTGGATGATAGCGGGAAGGGGACGGTGAGGAAATCCCCTTTAGTCAGCGGAGATTTACAGCAGGATCCAAGCCCCTGCATCCATCCATTTCCCCCACTCATTACAACAAAGCATTTCCCTTTTTAAAAAAAAGTTGGTAGGGGGCTGAGAAGAAAAGTCTGCTTTCTGCAGCGAATAAGGGTCTGCCGTCATTTTCTAGGCATATTTGGAGATGCGAGAGCCTCTTTCGATTCCTGTCGCTTGCGGCTTTGAAAAGCTCAGCTCTTTCTCTTCTGCCCTTCCTTTCTCTGCAGGTATTACAGCAGGAGAGCGAGGTTCTGATGGCACACCGCCAGGAATTCCTAGAGGATGCACCTGCTGGGTCCCTCACTCGGTCGTCAGAAAACGCCACTCTTGTGTTCGGGAACCCATATTCTGGTGAGTATACATCAACCTCCCACTTTTAAAATGTTTAATCCGTTCTCTTGACCGAGGGAGGTTGGATCAGCGGCAGTGCAGGCTTTTTCTGCGGTGGAACTGAACGACAGAAATAAGAGCGCCAAAAATAGTGCGCTGAAGGCAACAGGAGAGGTCGGCTTCCCTAAGGAGATGATTCTCCATGTAGATTTCGTGGCGGGACATGAAAGCAGGACCATTCACAGTAGTGACGGAGTCTTCGGACAGAGGTTTTGTTTACACCTCTGTAGTCTTAGCCTTCTGTGGCTGCCATTTCTACTCAATGGTTGAGGTTTAGATCATTAACTTACAAGCTTACCCAATGCTCCTCAAAACACTTACATATCCGTGGCTGAAAACAGCTGTCCGACACTTTTCCAAGCAGCATATAGGTTTTCCGAAGGGCCGCATGTTAAAATTGGGGTTTAAAACCCCACTGCAGAATTACCAATACAAAATTGCTTACAACTGTGAAATTCTTTGGCTCTTCTTAAAGAAATAGTACATTAACAAGGTACTTACACAAAAGAGGACAAATATAAAGATAAATTTAAACCTTTCAGAGACATGGTTTGGAATTTGAAATTTCCACTCATGTCACCAGAGGACTTGTTGGGGGGCTTTCTGAAAAAAAGGGTAGTAGCTAGACCACTATAGTGTTACAAAGATCCATTGCCACAATCAGCTATTTCCTGCTTTAATTTAATTTAATTTAATTACCTTGTAGAGCTATAAGGAGAAATGTGTAGTCCACACCTTCTTCCTTGTAACTCCACAAGGAAAAAGGCTAGAGCTTGACTTAAAAAAGCCAACCAACTGGGAACCAGTACATTGTTGCAACAGTCTGCTATAATGATATAGTAATCTTGCTATTTCAAAATCTAGAAGAGACCTGGGGGGGGGGATGGCAACTGGGGGGGCTCAGACAAAGGAAATGGTG